AATTTACTTTTTCTTTTTAGATGTTTGTACTACAAGTGCAGTATTGCACTGCACCGACAACTTGCGTGCTAAAAAAAAAAAAAATCTATGGCGCCATTTGGTGGTCAAAATAAGAACTATTAGTATCTTCCTGGCGCTCCGTTTCCGCGGCGAGCCAGCGTTTCCCAAGAATCGTTAAATTGTCCGCAACATTAAAAAAAAAAAAAAAAAAAAATGCGTGTACGATTGTTTTAAAGGGCAACTTCGCTCAATTACGAAGGTTTCAGGATAATCAGTGATTTCGCATTCACAAACACTAGTAAAAGACACTACATAATTTGCTTCGTGAAAAATAAGATATATACTGGAAAATCTAATTTTAAACTCGAGCAGAAATCGAAACCGAAACTTCGTCTCCGTCCTCGGGTTGCCAAGAACATGGCTGTCACGTGGTACGAGATGTCACGTGATCCTATACCCAACGACGGGCGGGATTGGGGCGTGCGTGTACCAGGCGCAAGTGTCGTCTGCACCGCACTCTTCACCACGTTTTGGTGTCTAGGACATTCGACGACGTCTGCATAACTGCGGCATAAGTCTGCGCACGTAGTGTCCGTAGTATGGACGAAACTCTGAGAGACAATAATCACAAACGGTGTCACGGCGGTAACCGCGGGACCACGGCGGAACTGCCGGACGGGTCCCAAGAAACCGCAGGCGCGTTACGCCAATCACGTGGCCACCGCTGACCGCCGAGTAAAGGCCCGTTCACACTCTTGCGACCGAGTTAGACCGAGGGAGACCAGACTGGTTTTTAATCCTCTTGCGACTTCGTAGGACCGGATGCGCTGCAGCGGAGCTGGTCCTAAGAGACCGCAAGAGGCTTAAAAACCGGTCTGGTCTCTCTCGGAGTGTGAGCGGGCCTTAATTAAGAAACCGATTTTTGCGGTCGATTTAGAGAGCCTGGCCGCTATTTGGGACACGCGGTAGACTCTAAATGAGTTTTGATCAGCCAAAGAAAGCGGAGCTCACCACAGAATTGTTCCATTGAGAGTAATTTTCAGCTAACTCGCATGCCTCGACCATGCGACTTATCTGTCCGCGAAATCGAGTCTAAGCAAGCGCTTCTTGAGCCAAGGGGCATGTTAATCCGCTAGCGTATTTCAATTCAGGTTTTAATAGCAATCGAGAAGTCATTTTGACGAATATGCGGCTTATGTATTATATTACGTACTATATCCCGCTAAAGCGATATTAGTATTTTCTATCGGGTTGAAATATGAGCTTAGTTGACTAGCTATTGGTTGAACTGCTGAATAAAAGTATATTTGATAGACAGAGAGATACAGGGTGAAACAAGGAGACGCCAGGCTCTTTAAATCGACCGGAAAATTCGGTTTCTTAACCTATCGCGCTTCGGCTTTGTGCAGCGTTGCCCACAGATGGTGCATTTTTTTTTTTTTTTTTGTAAAATTTGCGAAGAGCGAACTTACCTGAGGAAAAGGTAAAGAAATAAAAAGGCTTAGCTCCTATGGAAACGCAGCGACGCCACCGGTCTGCAAACAACACGGCGCCGTTTCGCACGGGAGACAAGAGATGGCGCAACAAACGCCGCCAACGAACGAGCATACGGCGACGATAGCAGGCCTTTTTAGCAGATGATCTTTTCGACTCAAAAGCGGCGCGCGTTCCGCAGGCGGCGACAGTCGCAGAAACAAAAAAGACAGGCGCGGTAACAGCAAGGAACTGCAGTTCCTTGTCTGCTAAATACGCCGGCTCTCGGCGTCGTCTGCTCGTTCGTTGGTGGCAGTTGGCGTCGCGACCGCTTGCGCCATCTCTTGTCTCCCGTGCGAAACGGCGCCGTGTTGTTTGCAGGCCGGTGGCTTCGCTGCGGTTCCATAGGAGCTAAGCCTTTTTCTTTCTTTACTTTTTCCTCAGGTAAGTTCGCTCTTTGCAAAAAAAAATGCACCATCTGTGGGCAACGCTGCACAAAGTCGTAGCGCGATAGGTTAAGAAACCGAATTTTCAGGTCGATTTAAAGAAGAAAGGTAAAAAACACAAGCGAGCTGGTGAATGGTATCCATAATAACCCTGAGACGAAGAAAAAATTAAAAAAAAAAAAAAAAAAACGGACAGTACAACGAAGTCTCTACATAGAGACTTCGTTGTACTGTCCGTTTTTTTTATTTTTCCTTCGTCTCAGGGTTATTATGGATACGATTTTAAGAGCCTGCCGTCTCCTTGTTTCACCCTGTAAATACGTGCAAAGGAAAAAAACTTTGTTTTTAAACAGACTAGATGGAAAAAGAATATTATAAAACGAATTTACAACGAAGGAAAAAAAAATTATAGCTATATTTACGGCGCAAAACGAATTTGTAGTTGGCGCCCCGCCGCTGGTCACGCGGTAGGCCCGCGCGCCGCCGCGCTGCGTCGACGCCGCCGCAAAACCACGCCGCCGCCGCACGCTGAGCGTTGTGCGACGCCGCTTCAACGCGTTTCTCCACGCCGCCGTCACCGCCGCCGCACAAGTTCGTCTGCTTCGGGGCGCCGCCAGCGCCGCCGCCGTCATCGGACCGGCCGGACCGGCGCACAGGTCTATCGCGTCTGCTTGCGCTTTTTCAGGAGTTTCGTTTGGACTCTAAAAGTTACTTATTGATCTTAGTTTTTTTGTTATACTTCAAACACTTTTAGAGGCCATAGGAAGCTTCCGAAAGAGCGCAAGCACCACGTGATAAATAAGGGCCACTTCCGCGGCGCCCGCGGGCGCCAACTACAATTTCGTGTAGCGCCGTAAATATAGATCTAAATTTTTTTTTTTTCGTTGTAATATTGTTTTATGACATCCTTTTTCCATCTAAGCTGTTTAAAAAAACTGTTTTTTTCCCTTTGCATGTGTCCTATAAACTCGGCGAAATGGTTCTAGCCGGCAGCACGGAGACGAATGCGGACAAACTGAAGACCGTCATTATCGGAGATTCACTCAGAACCTCTCTGCATTCAACTTGACTTCAAATCCTGAATGGAGAAATTGGGTTTTTTTTTGTGGCCGGACAACCTGACCAATGTAGACGTATATTGCTGCTGGCTTCGACAGGCGTATAATATAAATATTGGAGGCGCGAAAAATCATAATGTCGTGACAGCTTCTAACTTTGCGAGACGCGTCCCCCACCTTTTAAACGCATACAATTTCCCTTACTAATTGTATGCAGCGAGTAGGTTTTCCGAAATGAAATAATTGCAAAATCAGCCCAACTCCTTCGGTGTGGTCCATAGGCTTTTTCGTCTAAAAGCAGTCAAGATGAATAGCCAACGCACCGACCGGCGTCGGTAACTCAATCTTGAAGCTAACCAAACACAACAAAACTGAAGAAAAGCAGCTATCGAACCTTAACCATTTCGTCGTTTACCCTGAGACTGGGTTTTTTTTAGAAGTGCAGAAGTAACAGAAAAAACAGACAGGTCTCTTTTTGAGACCGGTCTGTTTCTTCTGTTACTTCTGCTCTTCTAAAAAAAACCCAGTCTCAGGGTAAACGACAAAATGGTTGACTTCCACCAGCTAGCCTGTACTTTGACTCTTTTCTCGTTTATCGAACCTTCTTATTCTATTAAGCGCAACATTGATGTTCCCTCCAGTGAAACACCTTGTTGGTCGTCCTCAGTCCACTGTTCTACATCCCTATAAAGAAACCACTTATCAGTCACCAAGTAGTCGTCACTTTGAATGTGATTCAAGACAGACAAAAAATCAAAACGTTTTTCTGTGATTCCTCCCCATCTAAGAAATCGAAAGCAGGCGACTGTGTGTAGTGGAGTAAACGAGCTTTCAAACACGTGATGGAAGGAAACGATCTACTGAGGTTTCACCACACTAATGAACACTCAGGCAAACTTAAGAAATATTCGTACCTTTGTCAAATTGCATTGTTCGCCACTGCGCTGACAACGCGTGCCCCTCGAAAGCCGCCAGAGACGTGGAGAGGCGTAAATCGACCTGTTCTGGCTGGTTCCCGGTCTTCCCGCTTGGTGGCGTCCGTTTTGCTGGAGTCGCGAATAGATGAGTCGTTGGGAATTAAGGGGGTGCCTTCAGGAAAACAAGTGGGGGGGAAATCACTGTCTTTTCCTCTGGTCTCTAGGATGGAGCGACCGTTATGGAACAAACTTTTGTTGAAAGACGCACCATCAACTTCTTTTTTTTTTAAATTGTCATTTGGCTCTTGTTTTGAGAAGACCCCGAAAACACGAACCTGGGTGTCTATTTTAGGGGTATCCACACGAAGGAGAACTCCGTGGATGGATGGTGTGACGTCAACAACCCGGGAAACTCCGTTCTCGGCTCCGCCGCCTACCTGCGGAGCTTTCGTGCTAACAGTACAAAGCCTCCGCCACAGAGGAGAACGGCGGCGCGAGACGTCAAAAAGGGATGACGTATGTCTCACGTGATGTGCGCTCCGCAGAGGAAAGGGGCGAATTTCTCTTTCGTGTGGATACCCCATTTGCAGAACGCCAGAAAACGCTCTTGCAGAGTATATATATACTGGCGCGAGCGTGTGGCTTCATCTACGTTTTTTTTCTTCTTCTTTGCGGGAGAACGCGTGCAAATGATTTGCGAGATCAAACCTCATGTCGTGCCAGCAGCTTGGACAGTGTTTTACACTAAGCATGAAACAAAGTATAGGCTTTTTTCTTCTGATTTTTTTTTAATCGTGGTTTTGTGCATTGTTTTCTAATGTTGCCTAATAGGCTAATACTCCACTTCAGCATCTTTTTTTATGAACACTTGCAGAATGCTGGGCACCGGCACTTGTGCAAAGAAAGCATTTGTTAGCGCCGCTTTAGTGGCTCTAGCAAATACCTTACTCGTGTATTTGGCGCTGGCGACCGAGGAATGCATGCTTTTGTTGTCACACCTATTTTAAACGAACGGTTAATTTGAGCCATATGTTTTCATGGAAGGAGAAAATAATTTGTGCTAAACTTCTGAAATGAAGAAAGCCAGCTTGTGTCTGTCTGCACAGCCAGAATCTGAGAGGACGGAGCAAAGCGTGGAGCTGAGCCGCGTGAACGCTTCGAGCAGCCTGGACGTCGAGGTGCTCACCATACACCTGGCTCTAGTGGCCGAAGAGCGGCATTTCATCAGTGGCATCATGCGCATCACCTGCATCATGGACACTCCGGAGCTCGGCAAGCGGACCACCGAGAAGATCATCACACGAGCTGCCTTCAACAGGTTACGACCCGGTAAGAGCTTATATATATATATATATATATATATATATATATATATATATATATATATATATATATATATATATATATATATACAGGGTGTCACAAAAGAAAATTTACATGGTCTTTTTTACCGCAAAAATAAACTAAGCATCGCCGAACGCTCAATCTCCGCCCAAAGGTAGCGCTAGAGGTCACAACCAGACGCCAAAGTTTCAGCCCGATCCGATAACTTAATCAAAAGTTATAAGTGATTTTCTGAAAATTTCAATGGGAAAATGGAGCCCATTTTTGCCCGTTTTCGGTTTCTGGTGCCATAGAGCCCCATCTGTTTGAAAACTCCGTTGGCCGCCATTTTCCCATTGAAATTTTCAGAAAATCACTTATAACTTTTGATTAAGTTATCGGATCGTGCTGAAACTTTGGCCCTTTGGCATCTGGTTGTGGCCTCTAATTCTACCTTTGGGCGGAGAATGAGCATTTGGCGATGCGTAGTTTATTTTTGCGGTAAAAAAGACCGTGTAAATTTTCTTTTTGACGCCCTGTATAAATATAAATATATATATATATATTATTATTATTATTGTACGACTTCTATGTGGAGTATTAAAAAATATTGGTGTTATGTGTATGTTTATACAGCCTGAAACTTATAGTCTGCCTCAACGGGCGACTTGTACCCCAGCTGTAGATGAGCAATTTAGCCAGTGCAGTACAACCGCTAGCCTGGGGTCTTTAACGTGCACCACGCAGTAGTGATACACGACCGCACGCCGGTACGATGCTCATCCAGATCGAAATGGGCAGGGGCGGGGATTGAGCCCAGGATCCCTGTGTTCTGCAGCGTGAGCTTACGCTCCACGTGCTCCGAGCTGGTGTGCGCCCACTTGGCCACCGATCCCCCCCTGTTCAATATTCACTGGCGGACAGAGCTGTGTGCGCGACTGCTGAGCGTGTGCTGGCAGCGAGCTTCCAGAGTTCTTTTGCAACGTGCATTCGACACCATCAATATTGCCGGTCTTAGCAGCCTATTATTGTGAGCTCATTCTGAGCATGCGCTCCCTCAAATATGGTGTCCAGTGAAGACGGCAGGGAGGTGCTTGAGTTGTCCCTCCTCCAGTGCAAGACCTTGAATAGCGTGTCTCGTGAGCTCCGAGCGAAAACGCGTAGCTCGAGCACGGTGGGGGGAACGAGCGCGTGTTGGGGGAGGCATTCGAAAGAGACGCTGTTCTCATCCTGGCATGGGCGTCGGCAGAACTTTTTCCAGGGGACTGCATACTTATCCCCCCCCCCCCCCCCGGAATGTTGACGATGTTGGCTATTTTCAGCACGTTTCCACGTGATTCTCTTCTTGCGTTCACGGCCGCACCCTGAATTAGGGGCTACAAACCATTAATCTCAATGACAATCGCTGGATCGCGCTTCCCACTCCCGTGAGTGAAGCCCCCGAACAACTATCTTGGATGTAAAAAAATTGCGTTTTCGGAGCGTTGCGGAGGCTGGCGGCAGCGTGCTGAAGACGTTTTCTACTCGTTCGTCATCATTCACCGAAGAAGTTTTTTAAACTCGGCGTATGCCGTGAGACTTGCTGTTGAGAACACGTGGAAATTTTTACGGAAGCGCAGTGCCGCAGGAAAAAAGCACAACGCGTAAAAAGCAAGTTTCGCTGATCTCGCGCACGGCGTAGTCAAAACTTCCTTGGCAATTTTTTTTTTTTTTTTTTTTTCCGTTTAAGTTTTTTTTTAATAACCATTTTATAACCTTCAGATACTAAACAGCAAGTAGGGAACAGTAAATCCATGGTATTCAGAAAATGTAGTTGGCTTGGGTAACTCAAAAAAAGCTGTGTACCCATTAACTGGTGTGGGTACAGCTCCCCCCCCCTCTTGCACCCCCCTCAAAATTCCAGAGGGAGGCAACTGCCCCCCCTTGCACCCCTCTGCGGACGCCCATGCATCCTGGCAGTGCTTCTTGTGCTCTTCCTATAGACCTTTTTCGCATAACCTCATACCAGCGCTTAACTGACGTGGTACTCTCGTCCCGGTGCATTTTTGGATAGCCCGCTGACACAGGGTATGCAACCGCCAAGGGTATGGACGAGAAGGTCGTGCGTGAGTGATTTCCAAGGGCTTCTTTTTTTCCCGTGTTCCAATTCCCAAAATCTATGGTTGTCTGGCTATCACTGCGTCGTCGTCATGTGTACAAATAATTTTCATAAGAATACAAACAATCGCGGAGAATGTACAACGAGCGCAAGAAGCTGCAGCGAGAGTGTGGCTGCAATTTTATTGAACAACACACATTCCACATATCAGACTCATCGTCACGTTTATGCTCACGGTTACTTCGTCTGCGGCAAAAGGACAGATTACAACCCGGTGCAGGTGCTCCGATTATGTTATCACTACAAGGTATGCTATTGCTCCGTGGCATGTGGGGGGTATAAAAATGTCTTCGTGCCATTACTCAAGATGCAGCTACCAAATGTCGAGGGCCTACCTGCATAGACTACTGTGGAAACTCAATCAAAGCACCCCACCGTCGTCACCCTCGTTCTTGGGGGCCTGCCATTAGCCATCTCGATTCAACCGGCCAAGTTCTGGCCAAGTTATTGTAGCCGACTATAGCCAAGTGTAGCCAAGTTCCCCCATACCCGCACCGTTGCCTACCCAGAACTACAGCGGTTCCATCCTGGACAGAGAAAGAAATTGGAGAAAGTGGCTCTTATGAGAATCTTGGCATACACAAAATATGAACAAAATTCTAAACCGATCCACTGGAACGCTGCCCAAGCAGCTATATACACGGGCTACGATTCGCCACACACAACAACAGAAGGAGAAAATAATACTGCGAGAAAGAAGAAAACAACAACAGCTTGCTACCTTTGGGCCCACATACAGTCACCCGTGAACAAGGAGCCGAGCCGGCTTCGAAACGCCGGGCACATTGAAGAAACTGGTTAGAGTCTACTAAGTACCCTTTCTTATTGCTTACGTAACCAGACGGAGTTCCGCCGAAATGTTTACATTTAAGAGCTACAGTGTACTAGAATACGGGGTAGTTTTGGGACCAGAGCAGCTCGCATGAGGCATGTGGTGTAGATCATGATAGGTGTCGACACTGGCGCATAGGCAGTAGGGCCAGTATGGTGGTGGTTGTGCGCGTGCACCGCGTGCACGCACGCGTGCTTCGGCACGTGCGGACTGCAGCAACTTTCTGCTGCTCTGCCAACTGCAGTGCCGCGATGAGACCGAGTAAACGTTGATGAATGCTAGCCCAAACCTGCTGACGAAATTGTAGTGGTGACGCTGCAGATCTGTTACCATTTATCTGTTGGTTGCCGAGGTGGCACCACCGGAGGGCCGAATTTACGGCTTTCCGAGAGGACACGCGAAAGGGTGAATAAAGTTTTTCGACGGGTGGCTGTCAGTGCTCACACTTGATCCCAGGATCCAGTTCATTTATATCAAATTGGCATTAATATCGGTTGTGCCCTCGAGGTGGTACCGATTGAGGCAATTTTATTTTTCAAACTTTTTACAAGCCTCGCCCTATCAAATGTCCGCGGTCTGTTCCAAACAGAAATGTGTTAAGTAGTGTCGTAATTAATGTAGGCGACTTAGTTCATGGTAAACTAAAATAAACAGCGCGTGCAAAAAAAAAAAAAGACCAGGACGAAGGGAAGATGCAAACGATACAAGCGCTGGACTCACAACTAAACATTTATTGAAAAAATACCAACGAAGTAAACCGCAAATTGCTTCAGCACGTGTCAAGATAAGCAATTTCTTTTTTGTGAAGAAAAAAAAAACGATGTTTGGTTGATGCCTGCATCTTGCCCCTCTTTTGTTATTGCACACGCTTCCAATAATTCTCTGGTGGTTTCATCTGTGCCCCTCCCAATGATGGGGATGTTGTTGAATTCGGGCTGGCATTTACAAGCAGCACAATGCAGAGGCAGGTGACTTCCAGCAGTCGACCGGAGTGACCGATCATGTTTACGTGCCCTGTCATTAATACATCGGCCAGTTTGGCCGATGTACACTCTTATGCAGCTTAGTGGGATCTTGTATACCACGCCAACCAACAATGCAATCAACATACTTATTCCTGTGCTTTACGGCATATTGGCTCTTGCCCCCAGCCTTTTCCGCAATTCTAGGGCGAGTTGCGCCAACTTTCGAGGTGCCGAAAACACAATGGGGACGTTGAACCGCCCAGCTACCTTTTTCAAATTGTGCAAGATTTTATGCATGTAAGGGAGCACCTGGGGTCTCGTTGTGGGTCTCTCTTTGTTTTTACTTGACGCTCCCTTAATCTTTTTTAACAATGTGTGCACCACTGCCATAATAACTGACGTTGGGAAGCCAGCATCTGTCAGCCGCTGTACCTGCATCCTAAAACTTACTGACATTGAATGGTAGCAGGACTTTTCCAAGGCAGTCTGGAGGCAAGAGGACACCATGCTCCCTTTTACAAGTTTAGAGTGGGCAGAATCATAAGGGAGTAATCCCTTCTTAGAGCGTGGTTGGTAAAGCCAATTAACACACGTGACGTTTTCCAAAATCTAGTCTAAGGTCTAAAAATTAAAGGTGTGCCCTATCCCGTAGTTCATGGGTAAACCTTAGCCCCCCAGAGTGAACACATCCAACACTGCTTTTACAGCCCTGTCCTCAGAGGCACCTTCAGACATTCTTGTAACCACTAGATAATCGTCAACGTATCTAAACACTTTGTTAACACACTCCTAGTCTAAGTTTTCATTGATTGCCTGATGACATTTGGCCAAGAAAATGTCACAAAGTACCGGGTTACACAAGAGCCAATGCAAATTCCTTCTTTTTGCACATATAACCATCATCATACATAATTAATGTCAACTGTAAATAAAACTTGAGTAGTTTCATAAAACTATAGACTCCTACGCCACTTTCATTTTGAAACTTATTGACACTGTTTTCATCAATACATTCACGCACCGACACAAAGTGCCCCTCGTGAGGCACGGAGTAGAATGCCGCTGCATCTGCGGGTTCGCCTGCACTAAGATATTCCACAACCGCATGCGAATTTCGCACTAGAAACGGGTCCCGGAGCTCTAGGGCACTAAGATGACACAGGAAAAACTGGCTAGCCTGTTTCTGCCGCGCCTCCCTTTCCGTTACAATAGCCCTGAAGGGTGGGTCCAGCTTATGTGTTTCTACGGAAAAGAAAACCTTTAGGTGGTCTTTTTTACTCTTCTTTATGTATTTTCCTAATTCGGTCAACTCGAGAGTATCGCACAACTTCAGTTCTGCGCTCTTGACTCTTTTTGGGTCGAGTGAGGTCGGTTTAAAGTTCTTACAAACCGCTGTTCTAGATTTATTCCTTAGCATGTACTGAGGTAGAACGACGAATCCCCCCTCTCTGTCTGCTTGGAGCAAACCAAGTATGGTTTCCTGAAAAAACGACAATTTTTCTCAGTGTGCTCCCCACAGGCGATGGTGACCTTTTTGAAGAGCTTTTTGACAAACAATCAACCCCGTCCCCTCTCTGTCTGCTTGGAGCAAACCCAAGTACGGTTTCCTGAAAAAACGACAATTTTTCTCAGTGTGCTCCCTGCAGGCGATGTTTGACCTTTTTGAAGAGCTTCTTGACAAACAATCAACCCCCTCCAAAACACACCTTTCTCTTTACTTCTTCCTTATTAGTCTTTTCCGACACCCTCCCTACCAAGGCCAGCAGTTCATGTTCCACGCTGTACTTGGGTCTTTTTGCCAGAGTTCTCGTCACATCCTTTGGAAGCTGAACGTCTCCAAGTACTGTCAAACTGCCTCAGCTCTGCACCGTTGTCTGCGCTCTTTTCGGTAAGGCGGTTTGAACTTGTTGCAACAGAAACTGTCACCTGATCCAGTAGTTGATGAAGATGCTCTCTGGGTTTCCGAAATCCCGACGATGATTCCGCACCACACAAGCAAAGCACTTTCAGGTAGTCGTGCAGAAGGTGAACTTGTCTCCAGTTTTCCGACAATGTGTGCTACATTGTTGGTGTTCTTTCAATTAATGTTTAGTTGTGAGTCCAGCGCTTGTGTCGTTTGCATCTTCCCTTCGTCCTTGTCTTTTTTTTTTTGCACGGTTTATTTTTGTTTACAATGTCCGCAGCCAGTGCAAATTTGCGCTCATCTGACACAGCCACACACACATGCAAAAGGAGTACACACCAGTAACAATTGGAACATGAGCCCCGATGTATATATAGTGGCTAGCAATATGAGCTGGAAAGCGGGAGCGGCGACCAAGCAGTACAGCCCACACAGTCTGCCGGACAGTGAGCCAAGCAGTGAAGCGGCAGCGGCGGTCTTCAGATTCGTGGACGGAACCCCTCACGTTGTGCGCGTCATCAGATGCGTGCTCGCCCGGTGTTGGCTCGCCACGGGCGCACGCTATGTTTTGGCTCTGCATGCGGCGGCGGAGGAGGAGGCCGTGGATAGGAAAATTCACCCAAGCGCTTTTTCCGCCTCTTATCATTCGCGTTTTTACACCGCCAGCTTTGCGCCTGGTGCACGAGCGGGAACTTTAGAGCACTGCCGTGGCTTCCCACGCGCTCCAAGTCTTTAGAAAATTTACTGAATTAGTGGTGTTCGATGGCACTCAGCAAGTTTCTAACTGCAAGCTTGTGTTTAGCTTCACTAATTAAAAATTTGATGAACAAAATTTAGTTAATGATCTGACTTACCGTGACAGTGATATATTATAGGGTGGTTCAAGTCACCAGGCTCGATCTAAAATGGACCTTAAAAATCGACGCCTGCACATAGCCATCTAAACTTTTAGTCAAAGGTGTATTTCACAGGTCAATTTTTTCTTCTAAAATTACAAAGCATAGTTCTCTTTTAGTAAAAAATAGGGCCAAGAAACTTGGCAGGGTCTACGGTGGGCGGCGACCCAGACGACCAGGTCCAGTAGCGGGGTGTGTTTGGCGTTCCTATAGATAGATGGCGTCAGGAGCAGCGTCTGAAGGTGCAGCCGACCAGCCAAAGAAAGCAGACGACACACAGACGAAATCCGTTGGCAGCAAAAGCGCCGCCATTATGCAGACGCGTTTTTTTTTTTTTTACTTTAATTTTTGCTTTTATTGTTCGTATTTATTTTTTAACCAAAGGTACATTTCAAAAAGATTATATTCATTTTAATAAACCACGGTGGTCGCGAGCCGTCGCAACAAGGAGGTAGCGCCATCTATCAATACGAACGCCAAACACACCCCGCTACTGGTGTCTCACAGGCGTTAATATCCAGATGATCCAGAGCGATCTTGCGCAAAAATGGTATAAAGTCCCATTCCTTCATATTTTCACATTATACCTGCGTCAGCGAGCACGAAGAAGCCCGAAGTCGTCGGAAAGCAGCTGCACATCACGGCTACCGCGCACCAAACAAACTCGCATCCGCCAGCTCTGGGCGCTGCCATCTTACCTGTGACGTCATGGCTCTTGGGAGGTCACGTGACGAGTGGTCACATTTGCGTACAACATGGCGGCAACCGGGGGGGGTGCCACTTCCGAACTTCCGGTTTATCACTCTAAGCCCCTCTACCTCGTTGGGAATATGCCACCATTCATTTGACTGCAGGTGCTATCTTCCTTCTGTTTTTGCGGGCTTCTCGGAACAATCTTTTTTCAGAAACTGTGACGGAACGTGGATCTCAACACTCGCACGTGGATCTCAACACTCGCAAGTTGCGGATTATCTTGAAATTATTAGTCTCCTTGGCTGGCTTGTATAGCATTTTCGTCAGAGTGAGGCGTGCATTTAAAATAAATGAGCCAGTGAACTGAGGCACCCGAGGGCCATGCTTATTTTGCTAAATTGGTCAGAGGAAGATTTGTATTGCCAGTATTGTTATTTATGACCCAGAAATGCAGCTCCACCTCAAGTCTTTAATAAAAAAGAAAATAATAATAGGCGCCACTTTCTTTGACCATGACAAATTGGTTAAAATATTTTTCCTAAATATTCATTCGTGTTATGCTGGCCATTTTTTTTTAATTGCAGATAAGGGGCTTTATTGTGGGACTCAACATTTCTGTAGAGAAGTGAAATTGCGACAAAATAATTGTGGCAATTGCAAAGGTCACATATTGCTTATCAAGTATTTTTAATACAATATTAATGTATGCATGTTTTCAGTAGGTGCAGGTGTAAAGCAAGGTTAACCCGCATTGTTCACCCGACAATTTATTTCACTCGATTAATCTGTAACTTTTTCTAAAAAAATTATCTCCAAGAAAACAACTTTAGTTAACAATTGCATGTGACTCCCATATATATTTATTTTTATATAAATGGCATCATTTAGCATACATTGGCGGTGTTTTTGGAGCAATAAAAAGGAATTCCGAGTATCAAACAAAATATGTAGTATTGAATTCTAGTTCCTCGCTCCTACCGTGAGATGTAAACCAATTGCGAAGATGCTGCACCTTACATTTGAAGCTCCTTAGGGACAGCTTTGTTTGGCAACAAAGTGGAAGGGCGTTCGGCTTCTGGGCACGTCCACGTTGTGATCCGAGTGGGTGCCCAGGAATGAGCAGCGATGGCCTCTCTTGGTTCCTGAGGAGGTGGCTCACTGGAATCGGTGGTCTCTGGCAGAGAACCAGGAGGAGGGGGTGCTCCTCTTGGTGCCGGGCACAGTCATTCGTGGCAGTGGATTCTGGCTCAACTGCAGCTCGCCCGGAGCCCACTCCATCCGCTGGTTCAAGGACGAGCAGGAGTTCTACCGGTACCCGCCGACAAGCACCACCGCCAACCTCAGTGTGCCTGGAGTCCCCGTCAGGGTAACCGCCTTTTCTTTTTCACTGCGACCAACTGAGACAAGACCGGTTTTTAAGCATCTTGCGACAGCTTAGAACCGGCTGCATTGCTACGCAGCTGGTTGTAAGCTGTCACAAGAGGCTTAAAAGCCGGTCTTGTCTCAGTTGGTCATAGTCAAATGTGAACGGGCCTTTAATCTGTCCCGAGGAACGCTGCGGTTCTTCACAAGCTGTGCACGCTCGAGTGGCTAGCCTTGACTGCTTTGACTGGAGCACTCGCTGCACGAGCGCTGTGCAGCCGCCGAGGCTTCATCTAAACCAAAAAGCTTGCACTTTTAGCTTGTGCGGCTAACAATAAGCCACGCGAAGGTGAGACAAAGTATAGTACAAACTTGAGCGTCTCAAACTGTCGCACTGTAGAAGCGTGCCTGCTCTAAAGCCCCTTCATGTTTCAAACGTAGCGCAAGGTGCGTCGATGCACGAGGCACGTGCAGCGTGCAGCTCTTGGGAAGATCATGGCGGCACAGCGCAGCACTAAGCTAGATTTCTGACGCCATGTTCTTTCCTGAAGTGGCGCGCGACACGTGCCTCGAGCATTTCCATAACAATGAATAGCGCCACTTTTTTCAGGTTAGTGGGGCGTTAGCCTGTTCTAGCGCAGAACGCCATCACGAGGCAAATATAAAGAAACGACAAGAATTTGAATGCCGTTGAAGCACATGTCAAAGCTAGGAGCGTGTGCCAAGAGACGCCATTTTACGCATTCCAAAGTAAAGAGGAAAAAAGAAAGAAAGAAAAGGGAACGTCGCAAGACACCATATATTCTGACGTCTTCACCCAGATAGAGACTCGTACCTTAGAGGTGGTGGCCTGAATGTGGCACTTTCAATGGTCTTGCGGCGTTGAATGTAGCCGATATTGGAAGTCAAAAGGTGTTTTTCCCGTTCTTCGGCACTACACAGAAAGGAAAAGGCTCAGCGATGGCGCCACAAGTAGTTCGAGGCTCAATTATGTGAGCTTGTACATACCCAAAATGAGGGCGCCACAGTTTGTGCAAACCTTCAGTCCAGGAGGCGTATAACAATAAGCTGGGGTTCCATTGATCAAACACTCGGGTCACAGTGAGTAGTTTAGTTCCATTCGCGTTAATAAATGGGGCATTTAAAAAAGGTGCAGATTATAAATTTTAGAGCACAGCTCTTAGGCGCCCATTTCCGGCTTGAGCGGTGTCGCCGTCAGCGTAACCGTTCGTTGCATTATGGGACGTTTCTCATAATGTCACACGTGACGTCACAACGGCAAAATTTTCCCGCTAAATTTGGGAGGGAAATTTTTCTGCTAAAGTTAGCAGGAAAAGATTTACGGTAAATTTAGCAGGGAGATTTTCTGGCTAAATTTAGCGGGTAAATTTTTCCCCTAAATTTGGCGGGAAATTTAGCAGTAAAATTTCCCCACTATATAGCGGTAAAATTTTCCCGCTAAGTTTAGCGGAAAAATTTCCCACCCAATTTAGCGGGAAAATATTACCCTCGTGACGTGACACGTGACATCACCCTCCCCGTAACCTCCCCTCCTCCTCCTCAAGAGCTGCGCTCTAATTTGGCATTACAGAGAATTTTAAATGTCTTTCATTTTTTATTTTAAAAGAAACTGTCAAAGACAGAAGCACCTTCTGCACATTACACTTTGGCTATGTTCAAAATCTTACCCAAGTAACCCGTGTCCTATGTCAGCGGGTAATACCACGTGACATTGCGAGCGAACTGTTCGCAACTCGATTTTAAAACGGCCGGGATAATCACCTGGATACTACGCGGATTGGCTTCATCTTGGGCCACGGCAGATAGAAATCACCGCAGCGATGGCAGAAAATAGCAGACCATTTTTTTATCTTCAAGAAAGCCCTCGAAGAGACAATAATATTAATGACGACACGGTGTTTTCCAAGGTGGATCCACCAGGTCCTTTTACTTACCTTCCTTTTGAGCGGTATATTGAGATCAAAATTACTTACTCCTTACAGTTAGACATCAAAAATTAGTTTTTATTAATCAGCGCGATCGCTGTAAATCCAGTCACTGTGCCCTAAACGCATGCATTCCACGCATTGTAATTTGCACAAACTACGTTTTGCAGAAATTGCTTTCAGACAGTGTAGCGGTACAGCACAGGGTGCTCTCTAGAGTGATATGTAACTTACGTTCGCCCTCTCATTACACACACTCTGGGAGAAACAAAAATGCTACCTCATCATTTACTGCGTTCAAACATTTTCAGCCTTGAACGTGAGAATACGGCATTCCTTCCAACGCCAAGACGCGGAGAAGCTCCTGTTTACACTCGCAATCTGATAATAACAACAAGTATACCTTCTTGAGGAAGGTGCACGGTCTGGATCTAATGCAGTCAATTCCTGCATTGAAAACAGCAAATCACAATAACCACACATAAATGGCTGCACCTCATTCTTTGTCATTTCGAACGTCCGCCACCAAAGCCAACGGAGCAAACGAGCTTTCACAGCTGTTGGCCTAAAAAGCAGGCGACATACGGATCACCTGACGTATTTACTTGATTTGATCCGACAACCCACCGATCGAGGAGGGCAGCATGAGTAATTACTCCGGAGTAAACAAACCACTTCTGGAACGCGAGTTCTGACGTCATGGATTAAGCGCGAGTTAGTTTTGAAACGTCACGGTACGAAATTTTTACTCCAGGGTCGGATGGAGTAAATTTTGGAACACTGCCGAAGTTGTTCCGTTGTGGACCGCATTGCCTTAGACCAGAGGACAGCCGTCTACGTATAACCAAGGTTGTGCACTATTTGCGAGATGAAATCTTGTAAAAATGGATGATAGTGACAAAATCATTTGGAGCCCATGGTTGAAGAATGAGGCGTAATATACGACAGGAAGTGTTCCAGAGCTACTCGATAGCTGGGTTTTTAAGCAGAATAGAATGTATTTTTTTTTTTAAGCCTGAAATAAATTGAAAACAGTAAAATCTCTTAAAGGGGGGCTGCAACGATTTTAAGATGAAAAGAATTTGCATCTCGTCATTTTTACATTGTTTATCGTGTCCCGGAAAATCCAGAAAAGATCTCCTTTGTTAAACAGTGTTGCAATTTCACTGCATAACTGCAAAGAAAAAGTCTAGCTTTTTCCCCCACCTGCAGCCGCGAGTGGCAGCCGAATGAACTACGGCAAAAAGCTTATGTGACCTGGCTCGGCTCTAAACTGCAGCCTAACGCCCGCTAATGTCAGCAGCGAAAGGGAGAGGAAGCGTCCTCCGAGAGAACACGCGGGAGGGGGACCAGGTGTGACCCTAAAGACTGGGAGTGAGTTGAGGGGTGCCAGAAATGCCAATATTTCTCTTTTTTTTTTTTTACACAACAACTAGGACACGCAGGCGAGATCGGTTTTCTGTTCTTTACTTTACAAGTGTCAGAGGGCAACCTCCACCAATGTTTGACCGAAGTCCGGAAATCGTTGCACCCCCCCTTTAAGAACGCCTACCCAAAATGAAGAGGTAAGGGGTTAAAAAGTATGAGTTGGCAATCTTCAAGAATGGGGCAGCAAAAGTTTATAAATTAATGGTACTTTTATGTTATGGATATTGTCAAAAAAAAAAATGGGATGTGTGATCTCTCCAAGGCAGGCGTTCATATGGGATTTTATTATTATTATTAAGGAACTTTATTTTGCATTTCGATACAGAAACGGTATTATTATTTATTTATTTATTTGTTTACAATTACCCTCAAGGCCCCAAGGGGCATTATAGAGGGGAGTGGTTGGTTAGTACAGTTCTAAATGTTGCATTATCGGTGATGGTGACGATGTCATTGGGAAGGCCATTCCAGTCCACAATAGCTTCTGGTATGAGCGAATGTTGATGGGCTGCTGAAGTGGTCTTGGGACGGGCGATCTTGCATGAATGATCCACTCTTGCAGAAATATAGCTGGGCGGGCTGAGGAGAGACTGTCGTAATTGTTCAGAATAGTAAATTTTATGAAGAAGGCAAAGACGGGAAATTCTGCGACGAACGGAAAGGTCAGGAAGAGTTAATTGAAATTTCATTGCAGTGACACTAGAAAAGCGAGAGTAATCAGGAAGAATAAATCAAGCAGCACGATTTTGAACAGATTCGATTGCGTTGGTTAGAAAAGCCTGAGGGGGTGCCAGATAGCTGAAGCATACTCTAGTTTAGGGCGAACAAGCGTGACGTAAAGGAGACGTTTGAGGTTAGAAGGAGCAGACTTGAAATTGCGACGGATATAGCCAAGTGAACGGTTTGCAGAGGATATTGTCTTGTCTACATGAACATTCCAGGACATGTTAGTGTTTAGATGGATGCCAAGATACTTGTACTGTGCAGCAGTCTGAGGGGTAATGCCGTTGAGTGTTAAAGAGTTTAAGGGCTGGGAGGAGGAACGTGTGAAGCAGAGGTGCATGCATTTGTTAATATTGAGAGACATTGTGCGGCACCATTCAGCAATTTTGTTAATGTCGTTCTGGAGTGCAATATGGTCGTCTGGGTCTTTTATTAGTCTATAAACAACACAGTCATCAGTGAAAAGACGAACAGAGGACGAGAGGTGAAGATGGAGATCATTAATCTAGATTAAAAAGAGTAAGGGCCCAAGCACAGTTCCCTGTGGAACACCGAAAGAAACGGGAGAGAAAGAGGAGGACGTGTTGTTAGTGAAAACGAATTGAGAGCGATGAGTAAGGAATGATTCAATCCATTGAAGAACAGGAGGGTCCAGTTTTAGCGAACTAAGTTTAAAGAGAAGGCGATTGTGTGGAACTTTATCAAAAGCTTTGGCGAAATCAAGAAAAACCGCGTTAGTTTGATAACCAGTGTCAAGATTTTTAAACAGGTCGTTAGTGAGAAAAAGTAGCTGGGTCTCACAAGACAGGTGTTTCCGGAAGCCAAGCTGCGCGTTGGTGAAGAAGTTGCAGGAATCCAGGAAGTTAATCAGGTGCTTGTAGATGACGTGCTCGAGGATCTTGCAGGTGAGTGATATTGGCCGATAATTTAGTGGAGATGTTTTACTGCCGGACTTGTGGACCGGAATGACCTTACCAATTTTCCAGTCGGAAGGTAACACACCTGTATTCAGGGACTGCTGAAATATCTTTGTGAGGTAAAGGCCAGATGCAAATTTAGTGTTACTTAGAACCTTTGCATTATTATTAAGATAATATTATAAAACTAAATGAGCAGCAGTTAGAAACCTGCACCAGCAACCATTAAAGAGATCAAAATGGATACCTGCTGATTGGAAGTTTTGGACATTTTGGAAAATAGGGGACATGAGACACCTTCCTGAGCTTAGAACTGATGCCTTCCAAAATGTTGCTCCAAGGCATGTGCTTGGAGATGGAAATTCCTCTAATTTCGACTTGGTAGTAAATTTATGTGAGCCATTTTGATTGTCGCTGCCATGCTTGCATGTCTCCATCTTCTTATTTGGAGCAATAAAAGCATCGGGCTCTTTGTGCAGAGCGATCTGTCAGACCAGGGGAATGTGTACGTGGAGCAGTCCGACCTCGACACTGAAGGCACCTATACTTGCAAGGTGAAGCTGAGCAGCTTCGAGACAAGGATCTCGGAAAAGAGACTACAAGTCTATGGTAGGTCCCGAGAGTCAAAATTTAAAACATTTAGAACGCAAGAGCTCTGTGTTCAGGGTGCCAGGTAGATATGTTAATCTTTGTAATCTAAGTTGAGGACACATCTTAGATGTGGGGGCTATGAGTCTGTCCCATGTATGGTCTCTTGGTTTCTGCACTTCAGTAAGAAGCTGTTATGCCTCGCCAGAGAAACTCAAGCGTTGCACAGAGTTTCTTCCTATTTTGCCATCATCATTGTCAAACTCAACCATATTCTATGGTCACTGCAAACGTCCGATTGTTGGCCTCTTTTCTGTTTGGCTCTTTTTTCCACTCACTCTAAGCTTGTTTCCCAAAGTGCATCACCAAAGGCACACAAATAAACCTCCTAAATCGGGGTCTCGTTCTTGTGCTGCAGTGCTGCCAGAGAAAGCGCCGGAGATTCAGGACCTGCAGTCAGCATACAAGCTTGGCGGGGCCATCAATGCCTCCTGCCTGAGTGGGCCTTCCAGGCCAGCCGCCATTGTCACGTGGCACGTGGACGGCCTCAAGGTGAAGAATGAAATCTATGACGCACAAAAGCCTTCCTCCATTCCCATGTCTGAGCTCCTGGATGGCCCTATGTCAGAGGGCAGTGCGGGGAAGAGGGTGGACACGAGTGCCGAGTTGTTCAGTCAGGGAGGATCTTGATGCAGCATTCGAGTCCAACCTGCACTGGCTTCCTGTGTTATCCAGAAAGTGTTGCTCTGAGCCCTTCAGGAGCATTGCCTTCTTTCCCCAAAGGACAAATTGTGGAGCCCCTTTGGAGCTAGCGCCGTATGTCGGGCTTTAGAGGGACACTGACAGGATATTTACGCTCGCCGAGGTTTTTATTTGTGTATGACATATGAGAACCCAGCTACCCAAAACAATTTGCAGCTCACATTTTGATTGCAAAATACAACTGTGTGTGGGAAGAAATATTTTTTTTAAACGGATAAAGAAATGGAGCAATTTTCGAAAGATATTTAATGCGTTCAGCACCACAGTCTAAACATTTTATGTACGAGTGTTTACCGCATGAAACCACAACGGTACAAAAGCTACAATATCATAATGCGTCATGAGTCATTTTGTGATTTATTTTATTTATTTATAAGTGTTCGCTTGGACTGCAGTTTGTTTTCCTATTTTCCTCTATGCCATGACAGACAAGTCATTCAAATATCCAATTGAAGAACAATTCTATGCACACTGTTAGAAAACAAAACTGTAGTCAATATGTATTGCTAGTATCCGGATACACTACGCTCAGCTATATACCGCGACTGTGCGTATAACAACTCGCGTACGGACTCCGAGGCCGGAGAACAGCTGTTACTGGGGTCTTTAGACTCTCTCAACCTGCGATGCAGCGTGCACCTCGCTGCGCTGTTTCGTTACGTATTAAATAAACACATTTACCAGGAGTATGTGAACGTAGCGATTCCAGAACAAAATAGAAGCGCGTCTGAAGATTGCGCCTTCTTGTTTATATGACTCGAGCATTCTTCAAGCAGAATGCGTTCTGTGACTGGCACCTAACCATATCGGGTTAGGTACGATCAAGGGAAGTTGGCAGGGCAGCTGAACACTGACGCAGCACTTATCTCCTCAGCGATTGAATAGCAGTGGCAGCCGAAACCTCTTCCTCGAGTCCCTCTGTCTTACTCCTGGTGGGTAGAAAACTGCACTCGTCCTGACGTACAGTGGCACTGCTCTGTGAAACGAGCACGCTCCGGGCTTTCCCAGAGAAAGAGCGCAGCAACAGAAAAGCGGAGAAAAAGTAAAGCAGACTCATTTGCCGCAATGGGTTGAGGTAGTTCCGAGTGTTTGGTTCTCTTTTGCCACGAGCTGGTGCCAAGGCTCTGCTCGGCGCCGCCACATTACAATTGTTCTGTTTTCCGCACGCTCCGTCTCCTGCGTCTCTCACTCCAACAGGCTCCGAGAAAGTTGCGTTTAGATTGCCACCACCACAGATGGAACTAGTCACAAGTACAGTGATGTGATTGCTGCGCCAGTTGCGCAAAACCGCACCAAAAGGCTAACCCTGCTACATGCTGCTACATTTTGCCAAAATATGGGTAATCTGTACCAAGCCTGCCCCGAAAAACCAATTTCGGTCGCCTTTCAAAACTGAAACTAAACTGAGTACCGTAATTGATCATGCGTGTGTTATGTGGCGCAAGCGGCCGCCATTGAGGCGGCCACTCGACACAAAGTACCCTGCATCAATTGTCCATCCGGTTTTTCATGAATTTTTCCCGCCCCCCTCTCGCGTTTCGCACTCTCGTCGTCTCGTGGGTCTCGTCTCACGTCTTTTTTAAAAATATTTTCAACGATAGACGCGGGTGTGCACGGACGCTCCGACGCTAGCGTGCCGGGGCCCGGGTACCAGCCATGCCGTCATGCTGTGAAACGAAACCACGTTTTTGTGCGGCAGGAGTTACTTTTTGAGCTGAAGCACTCACTTCTGAAAGCAACGGCCGTGGGTAAACTGTATCTGGTCCCTGCCTTCCAGTCACCATGGTCGCGCGACGTCGGGTGTTGCCGTCCTTTCGGCGCTGCAGATATGGCGCTTTCTAAAATGAAACTAAGTACCACCGCATGTTCATACATTCTTGTTCTTGTTTAAATCATACCTTGCTATAAAAGTCCCCTTTAACTCAAAGACTGCTGTGCCGAAGTATTGATTACCTAGGTTTCTCTCGGTGGGCTTTCTTTCAAGAGGGACCCCAGTACGTGGAAATTCTGCCACGAAAGAAAATTGGGGAAGTGAAGTGAGCTAAAACAAAGAAGGCAATGTATGCATGCTGAACCCGCACAGTGCGCTTGTTTTTCTGGAGTTCAGTCGTTGCACAAAGTGCTCCAAGAACTTTTTGACCCTAGCTCGCTAAGTCTTGCATCAATGCGCTCAATTCCTTTTTTTTTTTTTTCTTTTTTTCTTTTTTTGTGCTTTGCTTGTACTTTGTTTGCAAGCCTGCCGAAGTTGCCCTCACATGCATGCGAACATGAGTGCACAACAGAGTGCTTTTTTGACGAAATTCTGGCACTTTGGAACCAGTAAAACGGTGGCAAGCAGTTTTTCGGAATTGCTCGACAATGCCTACAGCACTGTACACTTGTGGGATGTCTCAGCAGTAAAACCACAAGCAGTGAGTTTTGTCACAACGAGTCACATCAGAACACAACACAACACTAAGTGCCCTTCATTTGGACAGCACTTAAAACAAATATTTTTTTTTTTAAGAATATCTGTTCCAAAAGCCACGTCTGCTGCTCCAAAACATTGTCTTGGCTGCTCCAAAAGCCACTTTTGCTGCTCCAAAATGGCTTAGGCCAATCACATCACTGCAAGTAAGACGTCCACGGAGTGCTCACAGGCTTAACTGGCATAACACAGGGCCACTTTGCGCCATCCAGTCTCCACACTACCACGTCGCATTCCGTGTTACCGCTGCCTTTGCCACGCTAGTACCGCTAAGGGGCGACTTTTCTGCCTTGTCCTAACCCCTTTAAGCCTTTCACCGCTCTGAGGGTACTGCATTCTGTGTACGTGGGCTGAAAAAGGTGCTCGATTGTGGGCAGGCATCTTGGTGTGGAAATGAGGTGAGCTTACAGTGAGCTTGACAGCTTCAGCTTCATTTGGAATTTTTAGAGCACAGCTCTTCGGTGCCCATTTCTAAGTTGAGCGGCGTTGGCGTCGCTGTCGGCGTCAACGTAACACGCGCGTTGCATGATGGGACGTTTTCCCACTAAATTTAGTGGGGAAACTGAATTGGTGTTAAGGTCACGTGACGTCAATTTTCCCGCTAAATTTAGCAGGGAAACTTAACTCGCTAAATTTAGTGGGAAAATTCCCCCCCTAAATTTAGCGAGAAATTTAGCGAATATTTTTGCTAAATGGGAGGAGCAGAGGAGGGGGAGTACGGAGGGGGAGGAGGGGCATACACTGCTCCCCATACCCTCCCCTTCTCCTCCTCAAGTGCGCTCTAATTTCACATTACAGAGAATAGTAAATGTCTAATTTTTTGGCACACTTCCAGCTTTTCTGAGGTTGCTGATCTATGTACGCAGCGTTTCTCTCATCTTTCGACAAACTTGCATGTAGAGATGGCGAGAATCAAGCCCACATTTCGGCCTCATACCACAGACTAGAGAAAACGCTGAAACGAAGGACTTCTTTTGAATGCTATATCGAGTTGCTTCAGCAGCCTATTAATTTGTTTGCTTTGCTTCCCAAAATGAAAACAAACAAAAATGTGTGTCTAATAATGAAGGGGCTAGGTTTGCCATGGTATAGTGTAATTTTTCAAGCCAAGCAAAACAAAAAATGCATCTTGAATACCGATGCTCTGGTACATTTTTTGCTCACAAGTGAAACATGATTCACCCATAAATGTATCGATATATATTCTGCGCCTTCCTTGGCAGTATATCAGTTTGGGCGTATGGAAGGCATCCTCAGCAGCATCCATTCTCTTGAGCAACGTCCAGCCCTGCAGTCCCATTGTTGCCCGCAGGTGGATGCAGTCGAGAGGAGGCAGATCCCCACGGGACACGGCACCTTCTACTTGCTGGCCAGGATACTCCTGGTCGCCAAGCCAAACTACGCAACCGACAACCGAACGCTGCACCTCAGGTGCCTGGCGCAAGTCGGCAGCGAGTACACAGACAGTTCCGAGCGTCTCGTCGAGATCCTGCACCCGCAGGCATGGGCAGGGCTTTATGGTACGTTCTCTCGAGTTCCTTTTGTCATTCAGACCTTGAGCAGAACCTAGCTCTTCCTTCTAGGATCTGCCATGTACCGGTAGAGCATCGCAGGTCATTTGCAAGGAGCGTCTCCGTAACTAAATCTTTCTTGTTCTCTTTTTCTCCCCTACTTGGCTTTTAATAGCACTTCGAAAGAAGCACATGGCTAAATTCATAAACGCTACTCGACTCGAAAATCCACTTGATTACGGTTTTGTGCTTCATAGTTCAAATTTGACTCAAAACTCCACTCAAAATCCACTTGAGGACGGTTTTTGTGTTTCATAGTTCAAACTCGACTTGAAACTCCACTCGACTGAGGAAATACTCAACTATTTCCTCCAAAATCTCAAGGTAGCTTCAGAGCTACCTCGAGGTTTTCCTAGAGACTCAAGTTGGTTTTTGGGTGACATGGCAGCCAACGCATCATTCACAGAGTTGGTAGATTTTGTCCTCGGAACCGACAAACTCCTACACCACAGTGAAGCTGAGAGCCTTACAGTGTCACTTTCTCTGCTTTATGAAAGTGATGGTGGCCAGCTTCCCAAGGTCCCTGTCGCTGGAGGAGTGCGAGAACAATGTGGACTGCAGGTCCCTCCAATGCTCCAGCTCTTGACTGTGCTGCAGTTCTAATGCATTGGGGCATTCGGGTGCACGGTAACCGGCGACCTGGTAAATGTGTCGCAGTGTGCCAAGTCGTTGGGCAAGTTTCGTGGCTCATGGTCAGCACGTTGTGCCACCATCTTGCAAATTTCCCAGGGAGGACTTGGACCTTGTGATGCGAGACTTTCATGAACTCAACTTTTGAGGCAACTTTTCTTCTTTAACTCTGTGTGAGTGAGAGGTGCCAAAGAGGTGAAAGAGGTCCATCCACACAGTAGCATTTGACCGCTTGACTACCTTGGGCAAGAGTGATGGTCGTATCGGTCACGCATCAATGACCATAATAGTATCAATCGAGGTTATGAAGGCTTCTGTTGAGCTACGATCTTGAGACATCTGTGCTTCAGGCATGGCAACCGATTAAAGAAGTAGCTCTGCATGACTCACGGTCCTATCAACACGTCATGATAAGAAAACCTAGTCGAACTCTACAGTGTGTAGGCCTTTTTTCGGGCTGTCTTCATGAAGCGATGAAAACATGCTAGATCAGTTTAATGGGTTAATCAGCAGCATCTATTCTACGGACATGCATAAGCTTTTGACCGCACACATACAAAGTACCGAAATTAAATTTCAAGCTCGCACTGAAATTAGCATGTTGCATATGTGGGTTCCTCAGACACTGGCAAATTCATTGTGCTACAGTTTCAGATGACTGTGATTTCATGCCGACACAAGTACACAAAATATCCAAGCCATTGTCAAGTGGGCACTAGTACTTGCTAGGTTTATGTTATGGCTGCATTTTGGAGGATGCCAAAGATGAGAAATTGGCTATTTAGCAACCTATACAGTTAAAAACAACATAGCACAGAACACACCTTTTCTAAGGGACCTGTACGCAAAAAGGCTTGATGTGTAGTAGTCAAATTCTGATAAAGAAAAACTGGCCGCTGTTCTTTTGCCCACTGTTGACAGTCTGGAAAGCGCTTGTGCTTGTTTTAACAATAAAACAACTAAAACTTTCACGCTGGCTACAAAATAGCTTGAAATCCACCAATTCAGTGCTTGTAAAGCACATTCTTTTAAAGATAACGAAAACATGTATTCATATTTTTCACCTAAGTTATGTTATAGACGAAATGTGATGGTATAATCTCATCTCCAGACATCCCTGGTAACGGTGGAGTGGAGTATGAAATCTCGTGGAATTCCTTTGCAGAGGAATCGCCGAGAAGCGTCTGTGAAGCCAAATGCCTCTTGAGTCAAATCAAATTTGGGGGTTTTACGTGCCAAACCTACAACGGGCATCTGGCACGCTCCAGCGGAGGCCTGAGGATTATTTTTGACCACCTGGGGATCTTTTGACGTGCAACCGAAAGCTCGATTACCACGGCGCCTTCTCCGCAATAAGCCTCCGTCATATTGCGGGCACCTCGGTCGGGATTCGAACCCGCCACCTGGGGATCCGTAGGCCTGCCTCTTGAGTGAAGTGTACATTTTTCCTCCACTTGACTGAGTGGAGTTGGAGTCCAGTAGCACAGATTGCGGCTGTGATCAGAAAGGGCATAAGAATTACACGACACACCATTTGAGGTTGTTACATTATTTACTATTCAGCCAATATTTTTCTTTTTTAAATTTCAGTATGTATGCTGGGTGTTTCTGCAAAGACGTTCAAAGATTCCTAAAACTAGGGTGGCGAGAAAAAAAGAAACTTTTGGGGAACAAACTGCCAGCCACGGCAGACGTCGGGTATTGCAAAAACGTACCAGAGCAAAATACTTACCTACAATTTACTATTTACCTTTTTATTCAGTGAAAATAAACATATAATTCGAATTAGAAACTTGATGAGTGTCATTTTATTCAGTGAAAATAAACATATAATTCAAATTAGAAACTTGATGAGTCTCATGAAAACCAGTCAAACCCTTTACAGGTTCGAGCAGCTGGGTCATCGAGAGCCACTGGACCTCCATGCTTCTGGCAGTGATCCTCGCAGCCACAAGGTTATAAAAATACCCCCAAAAATAAGTGTACATAATTTGCAGAGCAAATTTTCTTGTTCATGTTGAAATAAAGTTGGCCATAAACGTCTGCTTTGTGTCTGGGTCAGATGGCCTCCGAGATAGCTCAACTGTACCCTTCGTCAGAGATGACTGTCGCACAAAAAACTAAAGATGGCACAAGAAATGTACATTTTCTTCTGTTCTTTGCATCTCCTTTATTGGTTCATCACAATACAATCTTCCCATAAGCATTGGACGAGCGTCGACACATGGATATGGCACATTTCATGTACTGGCAGCAACAGCATGGGCCCAAAACTCAAAGGCCACGCAGGAAGCAGGTTCTAAAGTTGTCGATAACAGACGGCTCAGTACTAATAGAAGAGGATGACGCACAAAGCTCTCGTCTCAGTCCTCATGCCCAATCTCTTCCTTACGCCCAATTCGGTATTCACAGGAATCTGCCAACTAGACCAACTTTTAAGGCTAGGAAGGGAACAACGACAGACAGCTCGGCTCACTTGCAAAAGCAAGGCCTAGGCATGTATATTGCACAATATCAAATGTTAGCCAGCTCCACGAGCCCAAATGCAAAGCATGCACACACACAAGAAAAACTAACTGTCTTTTGCATATGCAATATTCAAATGTCTCGGACCAACGTCTGGATTTGGACACTACCACTCTCTCCCAAGTATGCAAAAGTAGTGACAAAAAGGGCATCCGATACCCAAATTTGGCACCTCTGCAATAAATGCGGAAATGTTCTTGGCAGAATGTGCATCCTCTAAAGGTTGAGATTCTGGTTTTTAATATATACAGGATGTTTGATCTTCATTCGAACAGCCTTATTTCAAAGAAAGCCGCGAAAGGTATGCTAATGCAGGCGACATAACACGGAGCTAGTCGTCACAATAAATTGGATAATTAACTAAAATTTGTAAATTCATTTCTTTATTAGTGAAACTAAACATGTGGCTCCTCTTAGAAATGTGCATCATTTAAAACCACAAAATGAGTACATTTTTGAAAGACCAAGCATGTGGGAATTGCTGGGGTGTGCTACCACTAGTGCAACAAGCGCAAGGCTGGAGGTGTGCAAACATGGCTAATAAGATTATCATCTATGTTTTGCCAGTCTTCTGCCTGTTGCATGAGTGGTAACTTGAGCACACTCCCCTGCTTCCAACTGCTTTAAGTCTTTAAAAATCTGACAGATTTAATCATCAATGATGATGCTCAACAAGTTTATAATTGAAACCATATGATTATTTTCACTAATTAAAAAGTTAATAAACAAATTTTAGTTAATTATCAGTTATTATAAGGATTAGCCCCTTGTAATATGTCCTCCTGTCCAGAGGCATCAGAACTATTTGGGAGAAGGGCGGGGCACGAGAGTGGTGTTATTGGGGGTGTTTTTTTACCAAACTTGTTATAATTAAAAATCAAACACCCTGTATATCCAAAACATCATGATAAAAATGATAGAGAACTGAAGTGTTCCGTTTAAGGCCTTCTGTATTTCAGTTAGCCAACTATGGTTGAGATTAGCCTAAAAAATCCCCTATTCCAGAGTTCAATCAGGGTGAGGAATGAATAGAGGATTGCTTACATTATCTGTGCCTTTCAATTATATGTTTCTCCCTACATCAGAAAGCTCATGGCATCGTCAACAAACTGACCAACACATTTCACATTCCGCTACATGACCAGCGTTGCCCACCTTCATGTTGGCTCTAGTGCTCAGAGCAGGTCGCCAGTTTATCACAAGAGCCTAAACAAAAAATTCCGTCGGCAGTTAAAACCTAAAAGTAAACATTAGAAAAGTGTATACCGTTTTGGCACAAGCATGCCAGTTTCATCAAACTGCAACCAGCCAGGACTCGAATATACAGTATATGAATGAACCCCTAACCTCGAAACAATTTCCTACCTTAGGTTCCACTGACGTACAAACAATCAGTGAGGAGGAATTTTGACATGGGGAATTACCCTGTCTTCATCGCTACACCATGGCACTGTTTGTGTAGGACCCTAGGGGGCATCTCTCTCAAATGGTTGTTGGAGACAGTGCGTTTCTCAAACAGGTTTGTCTTCGGTACGTCTGCCAGCAAACTAGAAGAGTCATGTCTCCCGTTAATGTCTCCCTGCTATGTGGACCGAATTTTCAGGGACTAACTGGACATGCATTTTCGTCCCATTATTGCAACATTATGGATGCTTTTTGGAAGGAACGGAGGTGTCAATAATAATGAGACATCATTCTAGATCACGCAATGGATGGTAACAAAATGTGCTATAGGTAGGGTTTCATTCCGGTGAATATTCTTCATCAAATTCGGGGCTCGTCTTTCTGGGTTTATTTTTTTGCACAGATGTGCCAATTTTTAGCCTTGGACAAGAAATCTATGTTCATCGGGCCTTATGTAGAAGAAACAAGACACGACCATGTAATTCGCCAACCACCAAAGAACATTTTCATGCCCAGATTACTTGGGTAAACGTCCCGGTACGAGTAAAAGAAAGAAACGAGATAAGAGGTCCAGTTTTCAAAGAAAGAAGTAGCTTCACAAGCAGTTCAGTGTGGCTGCATTAATTGGAGTTTCAGATTTTTTTCGAGAAGCTTGGGTTTTTCTTGGCGAAGGAAAGCTGAAATTCTGGATTTTTCGGTTTTCCCCAATTTTGATAAAACTGGCTCAGGGGTTCATTTTCAGGGTTTATTGGTGTTTTCCTAAAACACAGAACCCTAGCTACAGGGCACTCTAGACAGGCATTATCCACAATAATAAAAAAAAAGTTATCCAGTTCCAGTAGTTAAGTAAAAATTGCTCACAACAATGGGTTGCAGACGGATCCATCAATTCTAGGCCTCTGCATCCGTTTCACCCGACATAAAATGGCGTCCGTAGATATACTGTACATAGTGTCCATGAGACAGTATGTTTTAGACCCCATTAGCCGAGCATTTGCAGGCACTTAAACAACGAACATCTATCTGTACAGGAGGAAAGAGAAAACTGTAGGTCTCAGTTACACCAATGCCACTCATTTTTGCAACACTAGTGGCATAGCTAAGAATTTTTTTTTCAGGGGGGGGGGGGGGGGGGGGAACGTCCATCATTTGGGGTGTGGGACGTCAAAATGCATGTGTGTATTATAGGTAGGGTTCGGAGTTTTCGGTTTAAACCGATAAAAACCGATAAAAGTACGCCGAATCCATTTTCGGAAATTCGGTTTTAATCGAAAAAGGTCAGTTTTTAGGTTCGGAATTTTTTATTAAAACCGATAAAAGTATGTCGAATCAATTTTCTAAAATTCAGTTTTAACCGGAAAAGGTCACTTTGACCTTCCAGTCGTACCGCAGAGCCGTGGCGAAAACATAGAACGACAGTGTCTATCGAAACGTGTCCGAATGTATGGGATACACGGATGCCATCACGACGTTTTGGTTTAATGTGCGCACCATCGATCGGAACTTGAAGTCTGAAATGCTTCATAACTTTGCCATGTACGAGCATGTTTTCAAACTCGTTTTAAGAAAGACTGATTTTATGCAAGCTCTGCATGCTGTGTTGAGCTTCACAAAGTCGCACCGTGTCTCTTTTGGGTGGTCACAATTGGTTGATTGGCCGATTTTGGCTCAGGCAGCGCTTCCTCTCCTCAGCCTGCCAGTGTCCAGTATTAGTGTTGAAAGGGCATTCTCGAAGCTCAGGGCCATATAGCAACAGGAAAGAAAGAGTGCGGATCAACGAGGAGAACCTGGGAATGTACATCTGGGTGTACTATTATAAGATACCGCAATCCCGATGTACAGAAGGTGAAGTTCTATGTTTTTCGGGCATAGGCTTCATATCTGACTTCTTCGTGCTTCTCAGGTTTTTCCTTGTTTCTTCTAGAGCTGCACACATTTACCAAATAAAGTGCTCATTTCTTTTTCAATGTACCTATGCCGTTATTCTTTGAGTGATCACAAGTATCAGAGCTACAAGGATCATCCGATCCGGTGTCCGTTGGTGTTTATTTTATATTCACCGAAAAAAGCCGATAAACTTTTCTGGGCATAAATATACGCCGAAAAACACCGCAAATTGAATTTTAAAATAAACACCGAAAAAAGTATGCCGAATTTTGAAAAAATAGAAACCGAAAATGCAGAACCCTAATTATAGGGTCGGCTAGATTTCGAGGGGGAGGGGGGGGGGGGGGGGGGGGGACATGACGACGACGGGGGGACTTCTGGCCACTGCACAAAATGCTATTTAGGTTGAAGAAGGGTTTCTACATTGGAAATATCACGCTGCTCCAATTCATGAGCAATGACATTTTTTAAATGTACTCCTGCTACACTTAAAAAGCCTATGAAGCCACAGCATTTAAACTCCTTATGCATATATTTTGGCCATTTTTAAAATGTCCTTGTTCTGTGTTTGAGTGATGGTACATGCCCTCCTATGCCAAAAGAGTTTTCGCAGCATAGGGGGGTACTTGTATGCTCCAGTTGAAGGCCATTAGTAGAACTGCACACCAAAGACGGATTAAAGGGCAACTGCGATCGAGAACGAAACCAAAATAAATGACTGGCATCACTTTAGTGGCACGAAATATGATCACAGCCGAATTATTGCATCCAAGTGAAGTCACGTACTCCACTAAAACCGATTTCAAAGATGCGACCAGCTGCTCTTTAGTCAAGGCACACTGGCGCAGCCCCTTTGTGACGTCACGTCACAGTGGAGCTGCGGTTGATTGGTTGTACCGCGTACCACAGCACCAGTGTGACGTCACGTCGCAGCCGTACAGCTGATTATCAGTGTTGGCATCCCAGCACAGACACAGTGGTTCTCAACCATTGAGGTCTCGCGGACCACTTGTGGGTCGGCGGAGATGATGGAGGACACCGTTCATGATGAGGGGAAGGGAAAGGGGGAGGTTAATTATTATAAAGGATTTAATAAATGGATATAACTAAGAGCTAGTGTGAAAGAGACTTCTCCAAATGACATACACACGAGAAAACTCACCAAATATTTGGAACATTTTTTCTTAATCTGAAAAAAAAAAAATACAACTTTTATTGCCGGTTTTGACTAATTAGGCAGGCCTTCACGGAACCAAAGGGTCCGCGGACCACCATTTGAGAACCACTGCTCTAGCAGATAGTTTCGGTTTTGCCGTAGGCACCCGAAACCAAACTTTCAGCCATGATATTTATAAAACTACACACAGAATCAAAAAAAAAAATTGTACCTTGTCATTCAGGACACTGCTTTAGCTGAAAACAGACGTAATCCCAAATTAGAAAATATTGACTGGAGTTCCCCTTAAAGAACCACTGAAAAGAAAAAAGTGTTCTTTTTAAACAGTCTGGTTGGGACACGGGTGTCAAAAAATAAACTTTACGCGAAATGTTTTTCTTTTTAAATCAATATTGACGGCACAAGATTTATTTTAGCTGCGTTTGAATTATCAAAGTCCATGACGTCACGGAATGGTCATACACTCTTTCCACCTCAACAAGATGGTCATACACTCTCTCCACCTCAACATGATGGCCACAGCTCCTCCCCTCCATGCGCCCGAAATGCCGAGAAAACAAGCGGAAAGTCGGTGACCATCGACTAAATTGCGTCTCACGCCGTCAATATTGCTCTAAAAATTTATTTTTTTTGCGTAAACATTATTTGTTGACACTTGTGTCAAAACCAGACTGTTAAAAAAAAAAAATTGTTTTCCTTTTTAGTGTTTCTTTAAGGTGCAAAGAACCAATGGTTCAAGGTTTCAGGGGTGAAGCATACTGTTCAATTACAATATAGTAGGTAGTTCTTGGAAGTTCTTAGACACTTTCAATCCATTGCACACACTTCAATCTCCGCTGCTCAAAACTAATTTCACAATGCAGCACTCCTTTTCTTAGGTCTAATTAATTCTAGAAGTCATACGTCAGACTAGAGATCACAGATTTCCGCCACTCAATTGCAGCTAGTACATACACAATAAAAAGAGGTTCAGGTTTCTGGACCCCCCTCCCAAGATCTTTGGGTTATCGAACATACCTCCACTCCCACTTGTATACATTATTTCCTCCAATTATATGGCAAATTCCATTCTCTAGAAATTTTCAGAAAATATCTAGAGAATGAAACACACCTGTGCTTCAAAGCGAGAGAAGCTCAAGTGGCAATTTTCTCATTTTAAAACAGCATTCATTTTCCCTCGCTATTTTCTGAGAACTGATGAGGTTGCAAAGCATCATCTTTCTTCCAGCCCAGTTATCTATAAAACCAAGCAAGCTATGGCATAGGCACCACCGCAAGGTTTGCCAAATGAGTGAATGACTAGAAGGGTAAGTATGGAATAAACAGGCACTGCATAGATTTGACACTTGTCAAAACAGGCTTCAAAAGTAATAGAAATTCCCCCAGTGCACCTTTGTCTCAAATCGCACAGAAGCGTTGGCACTTGCTTCTGGGCGCATTATGGTCCCCTCCTCTGGTGGATAGGTGGCATGCTCAGTTGGCAAGGCTTTTTTTTTCTTGTTGTACCACAGTGGGTTTTGAGACAAATTACAACCATCAAAATTGTCCCCCACATGGAACCGTCCAATTAGAAACAACAGATACCCAACTTTACCGTCACCACATGCAGGAAAGCGCAACCTCCCTCATCACTTACTCGTTAAAATCTGAACGGTGACAAATCCGGTCCTTTTTTTTATGCGCTAGTGAGTTACGAGAAGTTTGAAGCTAAGTCCTAATTAAAAATTTATGTCTTCCTGACTGGTGCGGCGCAAAAAAGAGGAACGGAATGCTCTTAGTCCTGTCAAGAACACTGGGTACGCCACTTCTGGAGGAAAACACGAAATAAGAACGGTCCCTCAATTTGATGTTAAAAATGATTCCCCTAGAGTGGACCTATTTTGACTTCACTTTGTGGTCACAATATTCTTGTGAACTTGCATTACTAGAGATTTTAAGAAACTGTGCGTAGTGTTCCTCAAACGCTGCCACTCGGTTACTCAAATATTCATCTATTGCTGGCTACTCAAAGCTAAACTGGTTATTGTAACAGCTGGAATGTTTTGACCAGGCTAGGTTGGGATCAGGGATTCATAACTTTACCACATTGTTGGACCGGTCGGCCCAGCAATATCAATAAAAGTATCAAAAACCAACCCGTGGCAGCTTTTGGGGAACACCGTGCTTCCCTACGGTGTATGCGAGCATTCCCTTTTTTTCAGTAAGAAACTAAGATGAAAAGGATTAAACGAGCTCAGCTTCTTAGAGTGTGCATGGAGAAGTGTTGGGAAAGGGCCAAATTTCCTGCTAGGAGGTGCATCAGAAATAGTTTTTTTTGTTGTTCCCCCTCAAGCCACAGTATCCTGGATAGGACTTTCCAAGGGTAATATTTAGAAGCTTTTCATTCTCATTAAGCAACTTAGACAATTTTTTAATAGCAATTTCTTTGATTTTTTGGGGTAAAGAAGCTGAATATGTACCTTTCTATATTATACATAATATACCTCTTCTAATGAAAGCCAACGAACACTCTGGGTAAGTGCAACAAATAATTTATAATTGGGCATTAAAAATGATGATGACCAACTTTTGCATTGTAGAATTCAACTTTAAATATGCAGTCTTCAAATGTATGGATTTATACGTCCAAATCATATATTACATCTGAATTTTATTGAATATTCTAGAACCATACTAAGCACTCTTCGTACAAAAAAACAATTAAAATTTGAAAAAATTGTTTTGAGAAAATTTAACTTCAAATTTGAACTTTTACAGTTTTCTCATATTCAAATGCTTTTTTTTACTGAGATAACTTTATTTGACTATAATATTGTAGTTGTTTAGTAGGTATTTGTAAAAGCTCCCATTCAATGTACAAGTTTTGCCAGAACAATAAACGTAAGAAACCTCATCATCCAAACCCAGTAAATTATCATCAAAAGGGCTAGGTTCTGGATTTTTCACAAAAATTTTAATAAAAACAAAAGTACACTTTTATGACCATAGTTCGAAAAACAATGAAAAAAGCTTCTTTGTAGAGCCCTAGGTATCTGACCTGGCCAATCACTCCAGTATGTGACCTGCAATGATCAGCCAAATCTCAAAATCAACTCTCAAAACTCAAGAACTAAAATTATGATGCATAAACAGCTTTCAGCTTCGCCTTAGTGAAGAATTTGCCTAGCATATATAATTTTTTTTTTTTTTTTTTTTTTCTGAGGCCTTTGGGTCACAATTTTTTTTTCCCCGCTTCATTTGAAATAAACTTTTTCTTCGGATGTTTTTATTTCACCATTGTACTGTTTATTGGAATTTGTTCCTGACGCGCAAGATTTAATAGTGAACAACACTATGGCTTTGTGTTTAAAATGCTTACGTTTTGCTAGCTTTTTATTGATTTGATATAATGATTATATATATTTTTTTTTTTTAATTTAAGCATAATGGTTCTGTTATGTCAAATATGTCTGCTTGGGGAGCAGACTGCTCGTGCAGCCAGGGCACCGATGCACAGAGCGATGCGTCGCTGAAAGTTGCCGGCCGAGTCGAGCAAACCAAGAGAAGGCAAGGCCTTGTCGGGCACCTTTTGCCTCAGGCCCCCTCTGCGGTATTGTACGGCAGAAACAAGGAAGAAAAAAGTTGGCCTTTAGTCATTCACAGCATAAGCCACCAATAATGCGAGTGACGATACGCTCCCACAACCATCCAAAAGGCCGCAACGAGACTCGACCCCCGTGGCCTCCCAAAGGCAGAATCGCTAGGACAAAGGGCACCGATGCAGTGGCTGCAAGGTCAGGACACCAGCGCCGACCTGGTGAGCTGTAGCTTCCAGTAACATTCCACCAGCGGGCGCAGAATGCGACTCAACCTGGTCCCGACCTGAGTGTTGTCCGGTGGGCCCAGCAGAGCATGTGCTCCGGCGTGCCGGGCAGCGTACAGGAGCGCCTCGCTCTGCAGCTCGCTCGGAGGGCCGGGGCTCCAGCGGCTGCCGCCAGCCAGACGGAAGAGCCCCGTGTCTGTCCAGAAGCCCCAGAGGGCCGGCAGAAGGCCCCGGAAGGATCCTTTGAGCGGCAGCTCCTGCAGCAGCTCCCCATTCTCCAGGTCGTACAGGGAGAGCACAGAGTCGGAGAACGTGCAGAGTGCGACACCCAGGGAGCAGACTGCTCGTGCACCCAGGGCACCGATGCACAGAGTGATGCGTCGCTGGAAGTTGCCGGCCGAGTCGAGCACAACGACCGAGCCGTCTTGGAGGAGAAGCTGCAGAGAGTTGGCCAGTGGTGACGGGCAGCCTCGCACCACTTGGCACTGTGGCTGGGACCGCCAGATCCAAATGCGCTTCTTGTAGAAGGCGGCGGCGTCTAGAGGGGGCTGGAAAGTGCCACTCAGCAGTGCTGTTTCAGCTGCCAGCGAGCACACCTTTTGCGTGGAAAGAGGGAAATCATCAATGAGTCGGCAAATACCTGTCGGGGAATCAAGACTGTGAATGTCACGCGCGAGCCTCCCATTTTTCTGTCCAAGAATTTGTGCCAATGTTGTAGACAGTCTAAAAACTGTGAGCGAATTGGACAATTGGACAGTTCTGGTCTCTACAATGCATGCATGGACAAGATTTTTGCCTTCCCTTCCATTTGTCAATGAATTCATTCTGCCAGGTTGCCACCAGGTTGCTGGCAACTCACATCTTATCACATGATGAACACTATACGGTGTTTTCATCATCGTTATTTCGTCCACCATTTTGTTATGAGCTGTCTGGTGTGTGCTACACATGCACATTCGGAAGATTTGCACGACACCCTCAAATCAGGAGTGCACAAAGGCTGGTAAATTTCACCACGCCTTTTTTCTGAAAAATTAAACATTTTCTCACTCACTCACTAACCAAATAGGGGATTGACGTCATGTGCCATAGGAGTCAAACACCTAGTTGTTTAACTGCAACTGCCCTACAGTAGTGACATTCCACACTGGCACTACTGGTAGTTCCTCTGGTCCAGGATAAATCTCCCAAACCAATCCGAGCTAGGTCTGGGCAAATGTCTTTGGTTGTACCAGACTGCATGGAAGAGTGAAAAGTATATATACCTTGAGACAGTCAGATTCGCCGAAGGCTAGGTAGATCGCTGAAGGTCTGGGGAGGCTCGGCAGCACGACGGCTGCTAGCCGGAGGACATGTAGTCGGAAAGGAGGCAGCCTCTGCGCTACGCAGCGGGATCCCGAATCCTCCGAAAGTTCGAGAGACAGGCTGCACTTCCACAGAGAGCAACAGGTTTCGAGAGGAGACTCGTTGGACCGCTGGATCCAAAATAACTTCTGGTTGATACACGAGCAAGCGTATGTCAACCTGGAGCTCGGATCGTTAAACAGCCTGAAACTGGCACACTCGGTCCAGCCTTCCTCGGGCACGAACTTGAACGCTCGCACGCTACCGTCAGTGAAGATCACAAGGACCGAGTTGCATTTGGCTGTCACGAGGCTCGTGAATTGCGACGCTGACAGAACCGCTGTCTTCTTGCAGGGTGCGGAGGAGTAGATTCGGCAGGCGAACAAGCTCTCGTCATCTTTCAGCGTGTAGAACAAGTGGTCTGGAAGAACGGTCCAAATCTTCGCGACAGTCTCGAGCTCGACGGGTCCAGGGATCGACACCGCCTGAAAACTGGCGTGGTCTTCGCGGGAGTTGATAAATGATAACATAACTAGGCTAGAGTGTCCAAACTATTCTTTGTGGACGCTAACGTGCACATAAAATAGACTAGCATCTTGAAAAAGGGAAATTGAACAAAACACAAACCACGCACACGAAATGAGGCGGTCGGAATACATAATAGAGACAATAGAGATGAATACACGGTATTCGGGCCACTTCCGGCCGCCATGACAAGGAGTCAAGAACACTTCCGGTTCGGTTTTTGCTTGCATGCTTTTAAAGTGTTATATTTAAAGAAACGCTGACATTTCTTGCCAGGCAATTTAACATGCTGTCAATATCAATATTTGCTACAGTGTCACGTATAATTTTAATAAAGTAAAAAAAAAAACTCAACTACTCCAAACCGAAAGAGCGTTGCCCTAAGTCACATGGATGTGCAACTTTTTTTTATTTCTTTTATTTAAGGTATTTGCAGTTTTTTCGAAGCTAAAAAATCTTGTTCCCCTTCTCCAGGGATTATTTTCATCATTATTGTCCAGCTCGCTTGCCCCTTTGCATTTAATTGCATTATAATGGTATCATATCATATGCCTTCGATGCCTTCGATGACCCACGAGGTTGTCTCACGTGACCTCGGAGAAGAAAGTGAGGGGTGGAGGGCGTGGAGGGGTACTCAAATCAGCCAGTTCTCGATCGGCGGTTGATTACGCAATGGGTAGTTCGGCTCTAATGTGTCATCTACAAATAAAAACCTTGGTGAGCATATTATCTTTTACTCCCCTTCCCCTACCCCAAAACAAAGGTGACATATTGAGCTTCCGGCTCAGCAACACTTCCTTTGATTTCCTCCGAACTAACCCGAGGGGAAAGCCCCCAGAAGCTGACGAGACGCTTCACCTCTCTTGATTCCCATCCAGTTCATATAAAAGGGGAGTCTACTAGCAGCACTAGCAGCAAGCACTAGCAGCATTTTGTGAAAATTAGCAGCAAGCTTTTTTTTTTTTTTTCTTCTACATAACCGATATTAGCGAAAGAGAATTCATCAAAGACAGTTACTGAGAGAGTTATTTTAAACACTCGCTCAAGCTGCCTTCCACACAATGGTGAGACACGATATCATTTCTCCGATTACGACTGGGATGTCTCGTTTTGAGACATGATCATCGCCGGACAGCCCGTCGCTTCCCGCCACTTCAACTGGGGTCGCGCCCGCCCGGGGCCAAAACGCAGAGTTACTGAATCTCGGGCAGGAACGTCAGGATGCATTGTTTTCCACCTTGCAGTAAGCTCCACTTGTGCATTTAGTGGAGAAGTTTGTATGTTCACTGTAGGGTGTCACTTTCTCGTTGCAGTATGGCAGGGGAGGCACTCACTTGATCGAATGACGTTTTAGCGAACGCCCACGTTTCATCGAATAACACTTTAGCGAATAGTCGGACGCCGCGAAGCGGCGTTTTCGGGTGGGCCCAATGAGTTCACAATTTTGTAATGAGCCGCCGCAGACTGTCGCCGCGAAGCGGCGAAAGCGCAGCGCGGCGGCGGATGGGTTAACGCGCGCCCCCGTCCATTCGCTCAAATGTCGCTGTTCGCTAAAATGTCATTCGCTCATGTGACATGGACCCGTATACCCCAAGATAAGACTCATCAGCAGCCCGACGGGTAAAGCGAGAGAACATAAGAAGCAACCGACCTCCGGGGTCACAAGAGGCAGAAGTCATTCCTGGATCATTGGAGTATTATCGGACATACCGTAAAATACCGGGGGGGAGTCCCACTTTCACTGAAAACTGGGTTAATTCAGACATCGGCACTTGTCCGGTCAAATCGGGCGCTTAAAGTATAATTTGCAGAATTCCTAAGTTTAGGAAATGTTAACAGGGGACACTTGAATGAAGTGGGCGCTTCTGTGGTATTTTACGGTAGGTAGTACTGCTGGTTGAAGAAACCCCCCAGATTATCATGAATATAAAGGCGGAGGTAGAAAAATAGGGGTCCATATTTTCCGTCAAAACATGCTTTCTGGAAATGCGTTTTGTGGATATATCTTCGACAAACGTTTCTCCGACTCTGGCATTTCGTGTACAAATGCTGCTGCGATGTTTCCTCAACAATGCATGACTGGTGTCATGCCGGTGGGGGGGGGGGGGGGGGGGCGAGGGGCGAGGGGCACGCTTGCCCCCCCAGTTCTCAGAATGGGGGGCAAGGCATGTGTCTTGCCCCCCCCCTTGAAACATGCCCATCTGGGCGGGGCAAACACTGGCCGGCGGCGCCCAGGGGATACCAAGGGCACCGCCCCCCGGCCCTGGGGGAGGGGGGGCTGGTTTGCCCCCCACTCAAAAATAAGTTGGTATGTCACCGACTGGCACCATTTCATCCGCTGCTCCATTGCTTCTTGCAAGACAGTCGTGAAATCTCATCTCATCTTCTGTTTTTCGTTGGTTTAATTGTCAGCTGGTCAGTCATCGGTCTAGTAGTTGAAAGTGTAGGCTGTCCTCTTCTTGGTATCGGTTGCAACTGCCATCATCGTGTCAGTTCTCGTGGCCCGGGAATAACAGGAATGTAGTTTGGGGGAGATCAGTTGGTAGCAGTGTGTGTTGCGGGACGGCCTGAACAATATATGAAAACTCCCCATTGTGTTTATCCGAAGCTCGTCCACTGTAACTGCTTTTGTGACTTTGACGCTTGTCTCCAGTGGTCGTTTCAGCTTCTTGAAATATTATCACCAAGCAATTAACCATACTGATATCGACAGTAATGTCATTATACATAATTTTCCAATGCGAGTGAATTTGGACTGGCCTTGTGTCTTTTGCACCGAGAAATTATGGTGATTTGCCACTCTCGGCTTTGTTTTGTTTGTCCATCACACTCACTATTTTGTTCTGGGGTACCACTGGAACTGACAAGCACATGAAAAATTTAAAATAAAGTGTAGCAGTGACATTAAACATGGAGTGAGTAGAAAGGCAAGCTGGTTTATGTTGCACATAAAAAAATAAAAATAGATTACAGACGAAAAAGGGGACAAACACGAATTGTCTTGACATTGAGACTGAGACATTTTGCGTTTGTCCCCTTTTTCATCCGTCATCTCTGATTTTTCGAAAATGTGTAAGCAGTGACATTAATTTTTGGGAACGGCATTTCTTTTGTAGAACAGGGGGAGAAACTGATAAGCTAGATCTTCTCTAGCGCCTTGTCCCTGTCGTTTGTGTTATTTCCTATCGTCCCCGTCTGTTTGCGCTTTTAAACCTTACACCTAGATCTTCTACTCACATCTTTACTCATGTTTCCACAGTGAAAATAAGACTTGATTTCATTAAGTCACAGGAGTTTCTCACTGTGGCAGGGAACCGTGTACTGCAGCCATCCAATTTGAATTGCCCAATCTTATACTTGTGGTTTCTCAACGTCAATAGCCGCAGTCACTGTGACACCTTGAGAAGTACATGACAGTGGTTTGTCAGCGGCAATTCCTGCAAAGAACACGCATGCACAAAGATGGGCGGTGGAAGCTGTAGTAAAATGTTACACGCATAGTGGGGAGGTTCAGTTTCTGTGCAGTTACATGCTGTATTGCTTCTAGGGAGGCAGTCATCAAATATGTTCTCGTCTTCTCTGTATTTAGCGGTTTGGTTTTCATCTGGTTGGTCATGGCCAGTCCAGTCTTTGAAGTGCAGGTCGCCCTCAGTCTCATTATCAATTGTTGCTGTTGTCATAGCCAGTTCTCATGGGGGGACGTGGTTGGGCGGGGATCCGGCCAACTCGTCGAAAGTCAACTCGTCGATGGCCAACTTGTAGATGGCCCATTCGTCGAATAGGCCAATTCGTAATAGGGCAATTTGTCGAAAGGCAATTTGTCGAAAGGGGCAATCTGTTGAAGGGCGATTCGTCAAATGGGTTGAATGACAGTCCGAGGTTACAGTTCGTAGTTCCTTCTCACCTTTTGACCTAAATTTTTATTTGTGTTTGGTCACAGCGCCCTTTTTAGGTTACAAGACGGAAAGAAAAATCGCAAGACTGCAAAGACAGGACAGTATCTTGAGGCAAGTTGAGAAATGTTCATTTCGGGATCATCCTTGTTTGTTTTATTACTTTTTGTAATGAGCCGTCGCAGACTCCCTACGAAGCGGCGTGACTGATGGGCCAGTCAGGTTAGCATTTCTGTTATGAGCCGCCGTAGACTGTCGCCGCGAAGCCGTGTAGGTTAACACGCGGCCCAGTGATACATGCGCGATGTAGTGATCGCCTCCCACTGCACCGTGAAAGCGGCGAAAGCTGCAAGTTATCTTCGACAAGGAAGAGCACACTGGAGGCTATTACTGTGCAGCGATATTACACATTACTATAGGTCAGGATTTGCTTCGAAATTTCAGGACAAAATTATATATTGCGGCTTTGAAACATCAGCGACCATGCAGTTGGCCTCTTCGACAAGTTTTCCTTCAACGAGTTGCCCTACGACGAATTGGCCTATTTGCAAATGGGCCGCCGCCGAGTTGGCCGTCGATGAGTTGGCTTTCGACGAGTTGGCCTAGACCCGGTTGGGCGACATAAAATCTATACCGATTAAGTACATTTAATTGCAATTTTCTTTTCGGAAAGGGACTAATTGGTTTGGAATTATATTCTACACCAGGGGTGGCCAGACTAACATATACAAAGAGCCATAAAAGAGAGCTATTTTAAATGAAGAGCCACAATAAAAAAGGAAAATGGTATTTTTAAAAAGAAAGTTTTTAAAACATTTTTATTAGTTGGAGGCCACAGCGAATTCTACTCGTAAGGCAATTGCTCGGCATGTTTCTTTATTGCAGGTCCCCGTTCATAACACAAGTACTGTACCTTGTTCATTTTGTATTTTGGCACAAAGCTGACACAACACAAGCAACCTTTTGATCTTGCAAGGGTGAAGGAGGGTTAGGTTTACCAGGGTGTAAGGTGGTAAGCTGGGCGAGTTGGTAAATGTTGAACATAACGAAAAGTTGCGCACAGAGACAAGGACTTGTTTTGTCCTTGTCTCTTTGTACGCAATATTTCATTATTACCAGGTAGTCAAGCCGCGAGGGGGCCCCCGTAGAGCCGCAAGAAGCTCGTGAGCCACGGTTCGGCCACCCCTGTTCTACACCTATACTTAGCGTCAACTATTGTGGGCAACCTTGTCAAGGCTAGCGTAGCTTCCCCAGTGCTACCCAGCCAGACGCTGCTGCAAGAGCATGGCTTCCC